AAACCATTCACTAGAAAGGAAATAGGTGACATGGTCAACTCTAAGAATAAGTCAGACTTAACACTAAACCTGAAAATGAAATGATAGAGAATAGTACGTTGTAGAATTAATATCCAAAGCCAATGTCTTACAATGACATATTTCAGATTTAACGAGAAAATCACCGAGACTAACACTCGAGACAAGAAAAAATTTCAATTCTTGAGTGACATAGGATTGTCATAGAAAGATAGCATAAATCGATATGCTAATAACAATAGGGAGATCAGCTTCTGGTCAAAATAGATTAAGAATAGAACTCGAACTTGGAATCCTGAAACCTGCGGGTTATTACCTACCACGCTTCCCAAACAAAAGCTTAACATAATTTAATATCAGAGATAAACATCAATCTCTCGACAGGGTCTATAGCCACATTCATTATTATTCGAAGGAAGAACGATATCTTATCAACTCAAAGAATCCATGAAATAAATACTCTTGAGCAAAATTCTCTCAAGAGATAAAAGAATGCATAAGGTGATTTGAAACAAGTAGCTAGGATACAAAGCTAGATTGCAAGGCTAAACTTGTGCATTGATCAAATTGGAAAGAACCAAACAAGGATGAAGGAAACTTTAATGATCAAAACTGCTCGATTTCAAGTCGTTGCTCTACATCAACTTAAACCCCATGTTAGACGTGTCAAAAAGTGGAATGGACCAATATCGGGAATTCAACTACGCGGAAGTCAAAACGAATATCATCTCAAAACTGAAATCCTCATGAGAATTTTAAAGTCAATACTGATTTTGAATTTAAAACTGACAAGAGTTAATATCACTTGTGGAATCAGATCCATAACATTGGATCAAATTGAAAACTTCACGAGAGTTTCAAAGTCAAACTTTGATTTTAAGCTTCATATTGATAAACATCGATATAGGAACATGGAATCTATCCATCAAAGTGTTCTAGGAAAATGTAACAGACTATGACGTCAAATTCTCAAGTGTAACTGTATAATGTATTAACTAGTATTGAACGACATGTTCCGACACAAAAACTGTTAAAAAAACAACAAAACTCAATAGAAAACTCACATAGGCTCAATTTACCATAGAATTCAAAGTCGTGCTCTGATACCAAAAACTGTCACGGCCCCAAGGATAGGGCCGTAATTATTGGGAAAATTAAGTTTAATTAAACTAGATTAATTAAGAAAAATTCATGAAAATAAAATAAAATGTACAAATACCAAAGTAGATATTAAAATACATTACTCCGGAGTCTTTCCTTTACAAACAATATTTAAAACAATCCATAAAGTTTAAAACTATACAACTCTGGGACAATGTCGACCAAATGCAGTTTATAAACAGAAATACAGTACAACTAAGAATTAAAAACTGCAAATTCAGAATAAACTAACCATTTTGAATCTCACGCCTTCAATCCATCGACATCCACTTGCTATACTATGAATCGAAACCGCTAACTCTAGAGGGAGGGGTTAAAACATTAAAAATAGAAGAAAAGTGAGCGAAAGACCCAGTAAGATATAATTTTATAAAACTGAATAAATAAATAAAAAAGTGCAGGTCCAAACGAATCATTTGGAACCAAACAACCTTTTTACTGAAAGGTAAATAAACTGAAATTTCAGATTACAGGAAACCAACAAGTAATTTAAGTAATTAAATTACTTACGATCAATGCAAGGCCAAACACCACCATAGTGGCCCGTCCGGGCTTCAGGTTCTGCCCCTAAGGATACAATCTCTATATCCTGTCTAGGCCATCAACGGGCTGATTAGTTCGCAAGATATCTTATCTTAAGAAATATTCATTAAAAATTTAAATTAGTTCATTATGAGATCAATATCAATGATCAAGCTATTGTCTTAAAATACTTTTCTTTAACAAACATGTTTTTATCTTTAAAAATATTTACATAGGCCAAAACACTTTAAAACAGGCTAACAAGAAAATGGATAAGAATATCCTACCTCTTAGCAATTTAGTCTACGAATAACTTTACGCTGTCCAACCATCTATTCTTGAAGCTCAACGGCTTGCTCTGAACCTCAACGTATCTATTCGATTCATATCGATCTACATGCACGGTACCGGTAGACTTTTCAATGGAGTGGAATTGGTATAAATGGAGGTCACCGTTGCGTTCAACACGTCAAAACGAGTCAGGATATGGTCTCAGATTTTCAATCGGATGTCGGGAACCTCAAGAACTGAGACTCGCCGGAATCCATCACCGGCGCGGCGGCAGCAGTGACGGAGGTTGCCAGAGCATATTTTCGCGGTGGACTTGGGTCCTACCCCCCCTTAAATTGACCATTCTGAGTTCAATGGTGCAATTAATTACACCCAATTCGGCCTCTATCTACTCCGATCAAACCTAAAAAGGTCAGCAAAACCTAGCAACTTTAATCTTAATTCTCCTGCTACAGGACCTCAAAATTAGTTGAGGGCTTTCATTACCCATGATCTTCGGAGCATTTAGACACCAAAATCACGATGATCTAATGGTTGGATCATTAGAACCACCCCTTACCTCCTCAGATGGCAGCGGCGGCTCCGTTTTCTGGCTAACGACAGCGGGACTGTGAAATTGTCATAGGGGTTTTGCTCAACGTTCTTCTCTGAGTCCATTGACACTGGCGGTGTCGAAATGGCGGTCGGGATGGAGGTGAACGGCGGCGGTGGTGAGAACTCTGACCACTATGGATGGTGGTGCTCCGGCCAGGATTGACTTATGAAAAAGGCTAGGTTTTCTTCGTCTCTTCGTTCTGAATCCATAGGAACTGGAATCACCTTGATTGGATGCCGGACGAAGGAGATATTGCGATAGGAAGCTTTGGTTGTTTTCAAACCTTTGACCGACGATTGCGGCTGATTTCGGCGGAGTTGTAGGTCGTGCGACAAGTCCATCTCAGCTCGTCGAGATCTTTATAACGAGCCAGGAGGTGCCAAAAATGGACACCGGAATCGTCATCGGGGTGTTTGGCCGGCGTGGAGAGAGAGAGGGAAAG